GCGAAAGGGCTGTTGCTCGGTTGACTGTTACCCAAAGGTCCGGGCACCGAGAAATTTAAACACGGAACCCGACCGCTATTGTCTCCTGTAGCCATCTTGGACCGAGGCGCGCACCCGCTGAATGAGTAAACAAATCGCGCGCACTGTCAACATCCGGTCCGAAGGGCACATGTGTGGAGTTTTATGTCAGATTTATTATTAATAAAATAGTAATAACTAATTGAATTTTGTATTTATATTATATATATATATTGTTTAGTTTTTATTTATAATTTAAATAAGTTTTTTTACATCTAAACACAACAGAGGTATAATGTAATGTTAATGAAATTATCTATAAATTAAGGAAAACATGCACATATGCGCTACATTAGTTATATTCAGAATAGCACACACTGTTATTATTATTTCAGCAGTACATTTTATCTGATGGTTTTGTACATAAACGCCTGTGGTGTTAAAACACCACAAACTGTCTCATTATGAAAAATAAAACTGATAAACAATTTCCATAACTCGGCGAGGTTTGTAATTGTCCTGCAGAGTGTTCAGAGCACAGTCATTATAATGTAGGAGATGGAGTAATCCAGAAATCCTTTGTGTCTCCCTCATAAAAGCACATCTTCGTTGTACCACGAAACAACTGAAGGCTATGCTAAAGGATGATGGATAACATGAATAAATGGTCTGTTGTCTTATATCCACTGTTTACCTTGCTCACTGTCCGTATTGTGTGTCCGTGTATTCATGAAAGTGACAGAATAAAAAGATATACAGATGATGAATGCTCGTGAACGCGACGACGCCCCCGAGCGGACGTCAGGAGGAGCGCGCCAATGACGTCACACCTTCACAGCTGCCGCAGATGCGGCGTTTCTGCGTGAAAAAAAGCCAAGGCGTGAAGCTGGAGTCCGTATAATCACTTTGAGCCTTTGCAAATGCAGTTAGAGAAGGAAACTGCCCAGATATATCCACACAAAGTGCTGCTCCTACATTTCACGAGCTTCCAGTAAAACTCCACACAGAAACGCCAACTGACCCAGCCGAGGCTCAAACCAGCGACCTTCTCGCCATTAATATACCATTGTTCATATAATTCAAATTAATTAATTAATTTTGCTTCGGCTTAGTCTCCTTATTCATCAGGAGTCACCACAGTGGAATGAATCGCCAACTTATCCAGCATATGTTTTACACAGCAGATGCCCTTCCAACTGCAACCCAGTACTGGGAAACAGTATACTCACTCATTCACACACATACACTTATAAGTGTATGTGTGAATGAGTATGGGTGTTTCCCAGTACTGTGTATATACTGTGTATGTATGTATGTATGTATGTATATATATATATATATATATATATATATATATATATATATACATATATATATATATATATATATATATATATATATACATACACACACACTGGGACCTATTTAGTTCATTAATTAAAAAGAAATAAGGGTAATGCTTTCAAATACTGGTCTTTTAGTTCAGGCCCAAAGCCAGGAGTGGGTTCAGGTGGTTCGAAGAAGCTCATTTGTCCCATTTTTGACTGCCATACCATCATTCATTCATTCATTCATTCATTCATTTTCTTTTCGGCTCGGTCCCTTTATTAATCTGGGGTCTCCACAGCGGAATGAACCGCCAACTTATCCAGCATATGTTTTATGCAGTGGATGCCCTTCAGGCTGCAACCCATAACTGGGAAACACCCATACAAACTTGCTATGTCATCATAAATTGTGAAATTTATAGATAGAAAAAGGCTTTAGTACATTTTTTAATTATTCCAGTGGCCAAAATCTGACTGGGCAAAGTTAAATGAGCTGGCCGGTTTTTATTTGCCCATAGGCTACAGTTTTTATTTCAAATCAAGTTTCACCAGATTCCTTTTTTATGATAAATGATAATAAATTTGTATTTTCACAAATAAGTATGTTTTCATATTTCTTTATTCGTTTCTTTAATGCCCATCTCATAATAATATTTCTAAAACTGGATTAATTTACAGATTAGATGCAAATTTGTAAATAAATACTTCTTAATAAAATAATATAGTGAGCACTTTGCGTAAATTGTCGGAAATATTTTTGATGCATCAAAAAAGTGTAGTTTTGATCACCATCTGACAAGCTGATCCAGCAAAGATTAGTGCTTAAAATGTCACTAAAATGCATAACTGAATTGGGAAAAAGGTGAATTACTGCAAAAACGGTCCACTTTTTCAGAAAAAAAGAACTACCCTTTTCAATACATTTATTACGTTTTTTATTCATGTTATGTTACATTACCTTACGTTAACATAAAATAACGTTACGTTGTGTTATGTCATGTTACGTTATGGTATGTTACGCTCCGTTGCATTACGTTGTGTTATGTTTTGTTATGGTATGTTACGTTGCACTATGTTATGTCATGTTATGTTATGTTACATTACGTTGCGTTATGTTATTTTATGTCATGTTATGTTATGTTATGTTACGTTACATTATGTTGCGTTATGTTATGTTATTTTATG